TATTATATAATTAGTTTATAATTTTTTTTTTATGCATAACAAGGCAGGTATTTGACCACAATCGCACCTGATGTTAAGTGGGATGCAGTCTAGGATTTTGATTTCATCAAATTATAGCAAACAGTGTAATATAATGTTATTTGGTTACTTTAGGACCTTGAACAATTACACAGTTAGTACAATTTAGGCACGAAATTCTGCAAAACACTTGTTTGTTTTTGCATAAAGCACAATTCCTACGATTCTGACTGGTGAGGATCAAATGCTCAACACCATACAGCCTTTTAGAGGTATATTAGAGGGCACCGTGCGTGTTGAAGGTCCAGGCTGAGTTCGAGGATATCCATTTGTAAGAAGCGAATTTCTAGTAATTTACCTTCGAAACTTCAAAGTGTCTACAGATGCTCCAAGGGATCTTGCTATTATGGCAAAGTTATTGATGGGAAGGAAAAAAATGGTTCTAATGTTTTTGACATGGTTGATTGATGTCACCGTCAATAATAACTCTGGAGTTTCGAAGGATCCTCATCTGTCAGATTCGTAGAAATTGTGCAGTATGCAAACACATAACTGTGAAGAAATGCAGCAAGTGTAGTGTAAATCTCCATGACAAATGTTTTGCGGCCTAAATTGTACTAACTGTATTATTATTCAAGTTCCTAAATAAACCAAATATGATTATTATACACTATTTTCTATATTCTGTTCAAATTTGTAAACTAATTATATAATAAATACGACTATTATTTGAAAATACTTTATACTATGAACACCTACATTCTAGTCTCATATATGCCCAGGCGGTCGTTTTCGACCGACTGAAAAAAAATAGTTCCAAATCCTGAAATCCAAAAACTCATTTTGGTTCATAATTATGGGCCAATATAGAGTAAATATGCCAATATACATAAAAATCTGGGACCTAAATAGTTCTGGGCATATATGGGATAAGTCACACGGAAAACTAATGGCAAAGATTTCATTATTTGAATGTTATTTAAGCTCTTCGTCTGTATGAACCATATCAGATCGTTATTAAAAGCTCAGAGAAAGCTAAAGTAGGTCTAAGACGGTCTTCATAGCGAAGCTGAAGAAAATACATCAACGAGTTAGACGCTAGTACAATATAGATGCCTCCCCAATATTACCCGTCTGGGCATTATGGGGAGTATAACTGTAGGTCCCATCCTCTATTTCCCTGGTAAATAAGAGAGGGTCGTGCTCATGCAGTGCAGATTAAGGCTGAGTTGCACCACCTAACTTTGACCGTAACTTTGACGATAATCGTTGCTTTTTGTATGGAGTTTGACAGATTTTTGACGTTTGTCAAAGTTAAAGTAAGATGGTGCAACCCAGCCTAAGTGAACAGTGTGCTTACCATGAGTTTACGTTAGGTGAGCTCACTAGCGAATGCGTAAAAAAATGACATTTAAATGTATGACATATTGTGCAGCGCCCCTAGCGGCTACTTTCAAGAAATAAAATCTTCATAGAATTTTTTGACGTATTCGCTAGCGAGCTCACCTAACGTAAACTCATGGTAAGCACACTGATGATGATGATGATACCATAACAGTGATCAATTTAAGTGAAAAATAATACTTCCTCATCTAAAAAGGGTTACTAAAAAAATTAAGATTCCTCTCACTAAACCGCAATATAATTTTCACACCTACACTACTAAAAGGCTAACCTTCACTTGCGCTTTTCTGCAATTCGCATTACCAACACTAGCGCACTAACTTAACCGCGAATTGGGTGCGCACGCGCACGGAATGTTAATAGGCTTTTTTGCACGTGCCATAGGTCAAATTGTACATTAGCGTACGTTACAATATTTTTGACGGTGTCACAACTGACATTTGGGGCCTTATTAAATTTATAGTGACATAAAAACGGTGATTTACTACCGACGGCTTAAGTACTAATTATTTTAATTTATTACGCTCTATGGTTAGTAGTTAGAGACTGTTTCAATGTTCCGTCAATTTGTTAGTCTGACAATTGGTAATTGTTTATTAATTTACGCTCATTTTGACTTTTTACGCTGCATTCCTTAATTTAACGCTCGCGTTTTAAAATATACGTTATTTATACTCGTATTCATTCAACCCACCTAAGTTTTGAGAGAAGTCTGAGCTTATTTTGGTTTTTACATAACTTTAATTTTATAAAGTAGAATACAGTTTTCAAGAAAATCCTGGCATCTTGGAAAATTATAGAAATAGCAATAATAAGCTTCGTACGAGTTATAATGATCGATTTAAAAAGTGCATTGTTCATTTCTTTACTAGTCAGTCCTTTATTGAATCGTGTAACTGTAATATAATCTAAAACCAGACAGGTTATAAGATCAACTCCGGTAATAAGTAAAACGACCTAAGTATGATATTTATTTTACAGTCAACCTAAAGGCGATAAACTTCGTGATTTTCAACAGCCATCAGGACCCTGCAGTCTGGTGGTCCCCCAACCGGCCATAGCTTGTCATTAATTTAAAAGCACGAAATCATTAAACTATTAATTATTGGTGTATTCCAAACAGGATCGCCGTGTCGAAGCCCAAATCGCCGTAAATTATTGTGAAAGTAATCGATTTTATTACTTTGGGGGCGTTTTAATCGATTCCGATGAATCGTAAGCGAGTATTGAGTGATAACACCGGGCCACCGTCAGTGCGGGGAAAATGCTGTGTTGCGGTCAAAGTGTTGGTTTTGACTGTTTAGAAAAAATATGCCTATTTTTATTGACTCTGCGAAATCAAAGACGTTGCTAAGTATAAAATCATTATCCCTCGAAATAAGTAGCTAAAAGTAAATAGATGATTAGAAGCTACCTAAAAATAAGCTTCTTCTTCTATCATATGAGTCGGAACTGAACTGCATATAAAGCACTTATTTATTTTTTTATTTATTTATTTATAATCTGCTTGAAGGCTCACAGAAAGTCCAACGCGCCAACAAGTTATACAATACAGATAATTTATAATATCAATTTCAATATGTAAATATATATATCAGACTTCATAAGCCCTCATAGGTATCAGAAATGACTCAAGCAGGTCAAAGGTATAACCTGTGGTATAATATACCATCCAAAGCTAATATTAAAGTCAAATGCCATGGAAGTATCTTCAAGTCGCTCTAGTTCTAATACAAAACGTAGTTAGATTGTGGTAAAACATTTTAGCTACCACCTGTGTCATTTGCTCCATTTACCGCAACATGTGACTCGTGATCGCATACAATTTGATACAATTGCACTGCCCATAATAATTCAGAATCTTTTCGTCGAACCGAGCGGTACCACCGACCCAAAAACGTAACACTTTAGTATTATTTGGAATAAATTAAACAGTTCATTGAATATTAATGGCCGAATAAAAATGAGGCGTCGATACATCTTCTTCTGGGCCCAACTAAAAAAAAACACGAGTTAAAATATTCATTATCAAAGATCACAGAAGATAAGTTACTTTATGCGCATGCGCACCCAGAACATGTTTAGGTTACAATTTTGTAATTTTGTGGAATTTTTTTTCGGTGTTGTCGGAATGAAATACAATCTGGGTTGCATCTTGCGTGCTTTTTCTTCGATTTTCGGAATTTTAAAATTAAATCATACCTAACGATTATATATATCAATTTCACAAACATACATCAATATTAAGTATATATCTGATAATCTTAAGTGTAAAAGAGTTGTTTTTTTCATTTGGGAGATCATAATTATGGGTTTACTACGCTTAGATTGTGACATCGATTTATTAAATGAATGAAGGAAGGCACCAAAGTAATACTACATAAAAAATTGGCATTATTCTCTGAAACAAATAATTATTGTCTTTTGCCTAATAATATATTTCTGTTAAACTTTACATTCAATATCAATACCTTATGACGATGACGACCGATACGATACCGAATGAGGTGACTGATCCTGACCATAAATGACTGTTTTTATTTATTATAATAACATCAACTTTCTTTTAGATCAACGACACTCCGAGCACAATAGTCGATACTGTCGCAAAAACAGAAATGGCGTCAAAAAAATAATCGATTTTCACACACCGTTCAAGAACCTTGTGAAGTTTTTAATGAGCACTTTATTTGCAACAACAATAGGCCCAATCAGCGTTCGGGAATCACAAACCACTACCGTTAACGTCACTATTCGATATTCGTATTCGATATAATCACGGCCGATTCAGAATCGATGATCGACATAGTGACGCGTGTCCGATAGACGCGGCGACAATAGAAAAGAAAGTGTTGCCCGTTAACGATGGTTGTATCGGATTTGGAGCTGGCTTGACGATTTGCTGGGGCGAGTGTCTTGGGTTCCGTATGTTGAGGACAGTCATCTACATATTTTACCATTATATTGTATGCTTTAAAGGAAACTGGCATAATATAGCACCTTTTTTCGCCAGATAAACGAGAAAGTTTCTCTACCTTTTTCGATTTTAAACCCAATGACTTATCATTACCATTTAAGTGTACAGCGTGCCTAACACAACGATAAGCAAATAAACAAAATATATTTTTTTAATTTTTCATTTTTACTACTAAAGAAAAACTCTTAAAAAAGTCCCTTTAAGCTATGAACTCTTAAACCAAATCTGCCAATCATCATCTAGACCAGAAAAAAACAATACATACAAACAAAACATTTATTGTTTACAGGCTGTGCTTAATTAGGCTGGGTTGCACCTTCTTACTTTAACTATATCAAACATCAAAAGTCTGTTAGATTCCATACAAAAAACACCGGTTATGGTTAAGTATGGTTACGGTTAGTATAAGGTGGTGCAACTCAACCATAATTGTCAAAATAGAAACACGAAAAGTTATTATTTTCTTAATATTTGGAGTTATTTCTTTATCAGTTTTGCTGAGTGAAACGTAACAGAATAAGTAAAAACCTGCAAGTTACAAAAGCAAATAAGTCGCGTGCGCATCCAGTTTCGAACATATTTCAAGAGTCGCGAGCGCAGGTCAAATATTCAACTTTCTCCGATGACCGCGCGAACCCGAGCCATANGGTTCTGTTGATGGAAATTCTTGTGAGTTTGGATCCTGAAACAAAGCCTCACAGTGGATCTTCCATGTTTCAGATATCCCATCCATTTCTGTAATTAGTTCACCATTATGATTCTCTATCGCCCAGGTCTTCGATGAGAGTGTCCTAGTTAGTGACCGGATCTTCTGATGGAGGTCTCTGGTTTCGTACTTGTCTGCATGTACTTCAATTTCTGCACAGATATTCCGCAGATTGTTATTTAGATCTCGCCTGCATCCAGCTTGGATTTTTGCAGAGAGGCTATTCAATTTTTTGATGTTAGCACCCGTAGATTTGAGTCTTCGTCTCTCCTCAACCAGTCCCAGAGTATCATCACTCATCCAGTGTTGCCGTTTTACGGTTGTCGAAGGCGTATTACACTCCCAAACTGCGCTTTCCAAAAGGGTTTTCGCACTGGTCCACAGTTGATCCGAAGTCTTTCCAACCGACTTCGCATCAATCCACTGATCCCAATTTTTCTCAAGCACAGCTATAAATTTAGTGTTATCCTTCACCTCCATCCTTCGTTTATTGCTTTCTTTCCTGGCTGCTTTAAGTTTAAGCTGTATCCTTGCAATCAATAGTTGGTGATCCGATCCGCAGTCGGCTCCAGGAAGAGTATGAGCATTTTTAATAGAAGTCCTCCATCTTGATTTAATTAGGATGTAATCTATTTGATTTTTATAATTACCGTCTGGTGATGTCCAGGTGTATAATCTTCGGGGATGGTGACGGAAGAGACTGTTTGCGATAATCAAGTTTTTTTCAGCTGCGAATTGTATTAGGCGTTCCCCCCTTTCATTACGCTTGCCCAACCCATATGGACCCGCGACATGGCCAAGAGTTTGTGCATTTTCACCGATTTTGGCATTTAGATCTCCAATAATCATGAGCATTTCTCTGCTTGGAATTTTTGAGATGGTCCTTTCCAGATCTGAATAGAAGTTTTCTAACATTTCAATACTATAAGAGCTCGTGGGTGCATAAACCTGTACGATGTTTAGGTTTATGGGCGTTGCCTTTAATTTTATGCTCATTATTCGGTCACTCACAGGCTCATAACCCAGAACGCAATGCCTCAACTGCCTCGGCAGCAAAAAAGCTACTCCATTTATGCTTTCATTATCATTTCCAGAGAAATAAATGACGTTTTTATCAGTCAAGAAATGGCCCTGACCTTTCCAATGAGTCTCACTAAGACCGCATACCTCGACACCACATCTAAGTATCTCGTTCTCCAAGATGTTAAGCTTCCCAGCCATGAGTAAACCACGCACGTTCCACGTTCCTATCCTCTTATCTTCTCGCAGTTTAAAAGTTTTGCCAGTAGCAGAATTTCCCTGCGATGCCTGGTCTACCACAATCGCATGGCCGGTAACACATTTCCCACCGTTTACCCCGGATGTAGTACGGCGCCGGTTGCTAGCCGGGTCACATGGCGATTTCTTATCTTTCTCTTGTGAATTTTTCATGATGACTTTCTATGGGAATTTAGTGCAGTAGTTTCCCGTTGCTTTCTGCACCAGGCATTTTTGAAGTTATTTAGACCTCAAGGCCGCTGAAGCCTCTTCCGCCCGGTCGCCCGGTAGGTGTGTGGTTATACCGCCATTTCTCGGTCGCCAGAGCCTCGTCCGTTATCTAGCAGGGAGTACCACGGAAGCTACTAGAGAACTAGAACTACCGTCGTCGGCTATTCATACGAACCACCGACGCGAGCAGGTGAGGTTGACATTTGGGCCGACTAGATGGTTTGCGTCGTTCTCCCCTTCCTCCCCATAAAATAAAGTAGTAGTAGTAAATAAAGTTGCGTTTTTCCGTATCGTGAAAAATAAATTACATTACTCGTAATTGTGAGTATTTCCTAACAAAAATAGAATGAGCTGTTATTTTTATACCTTTCGAGTTACAAAAGGCGAATTTGTGGGAGGCAGACGGTCGTCAGTGCTTTCATCCTATTCCTATGAAATTAAGTGGCTCATAATAATTTTTAGATATAATGAATACTAGACCTTTCATTCTATCTAGTCTTTTGAAAGGTCGTAAATTATTGGTAATTAGAAGATATTGTGGACCGGATTAATAGATCCACCAGTTAATTTAGGTCAGGACCCAGAACCGAACCGAANAAATGCTCGAATAGGCAGTGTTTTTAATTCATCTGGCAATTTATTAAAAATTCGTACTGCCATTGGATAGCAGTTGTCACTTTGCAAGGATGTGAGCATTACAGGCAGTGTCAGTTTGTTTGGTATGTCTCAATCAACGTCTCCCTCGGTGTCCCTCTCAATTCCAGTAGGAAGTAGTTCCCACTTTCGTATAAGGTTGAAATTAAGACAGAAGATATGGTTTTGCAGAACTATTTTTTTTTAAAGATCCTTGGGCTCAACATTTACATGTCGCAACTTTTACTTGCTCTACCACCAACCGATTAGAAAAAATAACGCTCATTCCAGCCAACTTTGTCAGCGTTTTATAACAATACATAAACGTAGATTAAAATCTCACTACCACAACGGCTTATTGTTATGATGGAATTTCAAGCGTAGTACCTACTTGTATGTATTAATATTGTGTGACCATACTTTTTAAATAGTGCAGTGCAATTATGAAAATGGAGTTTGGTGTTAATTTAAATAATAAATAAGGAGTATCTATCAGCCCTAGTCCTGCAGCCGTCTGTGTCGGCAGCAGCGTCCAGGCGAACTAAATTTAGCCCCGGGGTGCGTATCCCTCGTTTGCCGGAATCACGCCAGACGACGGGATGACAGAGATGGGTAAACAAATGCTATTCCGATTCCTTCGCGTTTTTTATTTACTTTTACCTAGCTATCAATATTATTCTATTATAGAATTATCTGCATGAGCGCACTAGACTCGTTGAAAGTTTAAGCCAAATGAGATTTCTTATTTAGATAAATCACAAGAGAAAATGAGATGGTTTAACAAATGTCATGCATTTGTAGTTAATTCATGTAATCGTAGCCGGTTTTTAACACAAAATACACCACTATAAAACAAACAAAAATAAACGAAATGAAACGGAAAACCAAATTCGTGATGTGTGTTTGACGAATTAATGAATCCAATATGTTTGTAAACACCGCGGTAATTGAATCCAGGCCCGCTGCGTTAGGTTTGATGTCCAATGAAGTGCAATAGCCATACTTATTTTGAAACAAACAGTTTTCCTTACATTCATATTACAGTCATAGGTACGTATAATTAAATGTCGCTTAGAGGCACTGCCAGTACCTCAGTCATACTATGATCACTACTATCGTATACGGATTATATCCGACTCAAGTCTTTTATTTTTTAGTGTAGATCTGGCTACAGAGAGGTATATCAAGTGACACATTATTTCGCACGCAACAACACATCAAATTGCTTCGCATCGCTTTTCTTCTAGTGGTGATTTTATCGAGTGACGACATCACGTTTGATATGCGTATATCGCATGAAGTAGCATCACATAGCATAGCTTATCTTATAGAGCCAGCTTGAAGAGCCAGTGAGCTGACCGGGAAGCGAGGGTATCGAGTGACGTCATCACGCTTCGGATGCGTATATCGCGTGACATAGCGTCACATAGCATAGCTTATCTTATAGAGCCNACTTGGATATGATTTGTATTAGAAAGTGTTGTGAGTGTGACGCTTGAAGGGAAGGAAGTCAACCTAACCTAACCAACTGCGTATTTCTATACTGTGTAGCTGGAAATTGTGGCGGGAGCTCTTTGACGCGCTGTTTTCGGCGAAGAATTGCGCGCGCAGATTTTGACAGCGCGAAATACCTACTTTAGACGAAATACCAAGCCTTAATTTGAAGTGATAAACTGTATATGTTGTTACAAGCTGCTACTACGTGTGAGCTTCATTAAAATACATAGATCTATATCTATTTAAAGTATACAAGTCCTCTGTGTTTAACGATATGCATCCTTGTGATGATGGAGTTAAAATTCAGTTTCAAAGTTCGCAATATTTAATTAAAGCGCGTAGATTCTATTGTGTGGGCTGTAACAACGCTGTTGTCAGATTTTAGGTTTTGCTATAGATGTCTGACATGCCTATCGGATCCACGGTGATTATCGGAGAGATATGATTCCGTATCTGACATCCAAGTTGATTTAAGCTTAGAATGTTCTACTGCTTACCAAAATGGGAAGCAAGAGCTGATTTCTATTTGATCATTGAACACCAAACTGTACTCGTAATTTTCAGGACTAGTTTCATCTAGCTATTGCCTAATCGTAGTGGAACTTATCTGTCAAGTAAGCTACACTCTTTGATTTCACATGCAAGGTTATCTGTAAGGTAAACTATAACTTTTGGTTTCACATATCTGGCAGATAGTCACAGGCAATTAACTATCTAAGATAGCGTTGTGACAGATAAATATCTGTGACTCTATCAAGAACTAGCTTTTGCCCGCGGCGATGTTAGTATGTAACTCAAAATGATAATGTAGCTTTCTATTTATTAAAATACTTCTTAAGTCGGTTGTTCTAGAGCTTACTTTCTTTCAAACTTTACCTCTTTATAAAATTCCTATATCAAGAACATTTAAAGGCCTCTGATGTACAGCTAGGGTATGATGAGCTTGATTGTCAATTTGTATGAAAAAATGCGATTACTTATAATTATGCCAGAAGCTTTACAAAACGTGTATAAACTGATGCAGAGTACAAATTAACATAAGATCTATATTAACATTTAATTTAATTTAAACTTCAATAAAAATAAGTGTGAAACCCGTCTCAAAACGGGTAGTTGATATGTTAAAGATAAAGTCAATATTTTAATAAATTAAGCTTTTTTCAATATCAGCAATATGCGATCATAAATATAGCCGTTTAAAATCTGCCGTTCTTAATTAAATTATTCTAGTTGATTTAATGACCAAATGTACCGATAGCCACCATTAGACAAATATATTAGTCAGGAAGTTGTAAAACGATCCATGCTTAGAAATAAATCTTTGGATCGTGTTCTTGTTTAAACTAATAAAAAGTGAAATTTGATTTAATAATACCTTTGAAGTCATGTTAATTTAATATTAAAAAGTTTTATTTTTATATTTCTACTATTACTACGCGTGTGGGCTGTATAACGGTGGTTTAAGAATTAATAGGTCCTTGATATAGTATTGCATAGTAACATTCTTGTAGCTCTATACGATCGCGAAATTGAATCTGTCACAAATGTTACTTTGTTGTCCCTCTAGACAAACTTACTATCATGAATGCTACTTCCATGATAGTTTTAGATCAATTTATCGATACTCAAACTACCGATATTTTCGCAACAGTTGCGGCACTTCTCTAAAAACCTCCAAAATAAAACCTACGTTAAGTTGGAAGGCAGTTGGGAAGCCCATCCATCTATTTTGTCGACTAAATCATATATATGAAATATCGGTGGTCTGCGCCTAGGCTAATAGTGCAGACGACAGAACATTTAGCTAAAAAACTTTGACATCTTATGTGTTAACCAGCGGCCGCCCGCGACTTCGTACGCGTGGATCCCGTTTTACCCCCTTAGGGGTGGAGTTTCGTAAAATCCTTTCTTAGCGGATGCCTACGTCATAACATCTACCTGCATGCCAAATTTCAGCCCGATCCGTCTAGTGGTTTGGGCTGTGCTTTGATAGATCACTATGTCGTCAGTCAGTCAGTCAGTCACCTTTGAGTAATATACAGGGTGTTAGGTAAATGGGTATATGAGCCGACACTAGCCCATGTTAACATATGCATACAAATGGTATGGTGAAGTCAGAAAATTGATATCATCATTTTAATAATTTTAATTTTCATACAAATCAGATTCTTAAAATTTTATTTTGTATGAACATTTAAAAAATTAAAATGATGATATCAAATTTCTGACTTCAGCATACCATTTATATGCATATGTTAACATGGGCTAGTGTCGGCTCATATACCCATTTACCTAACACCCTGTATAAAGAGCTATTTCGCAACCAAACCTATAGTCTGAAGTACGTTACTATACATAAGTAGAGTCAGTTAATAATGAGAGCAACCTTTAAGAGCATATTTACGTGTTTTTGTCGAATTCTTTATGAGAACGGTTAGCCTTAATGTGGTATGATGGTGGGTTTGTCTTAAAGCTTTCGGTGTTATTCAGGTGGTAATTCAGTGCTTAAGCATTCTGGCGCTGTAAATATCAAGTGTGAGGCAATTGTGGTTAAATAACAATAACGTTATTGTTATTATAAATGCTGGTTATGGAAACGTATTTCCTTTTAACTAAAATCATATTTTGAAGCATAAAATATTTTAAAATTTTGTTAGTTGGATTTTAAATTTGAATGACCTATTTCTTAATTAGGTTTTGCCTAAATCATATCAACCTGAGTCATATTTTTTTCTAAAAAAAATACTTAAAAATCTTCTCATCGTCACATCTTATGACTTTGTCCCACTCCGAATGGATTATTAAAAATTACA